GAGAGAGAGAGAGAGAGAGAGAGAGAGAGAGAGAGAGAGAGAGAGAGAGAGAGAGAAAGCAAGGGAGAGGAAACGATGAAGGGTGAGACGGCAAGGGGGTGACGCATTACGCGCGGACGACGCGAAACGAGCGTGGGCGGGTAATTTAACGAGAGGCGCCGTATTATTTTCGAATGGGACGTAAGGACGTTCCGCGAAAGATACCCGCGCTTCCCTGTTTGCGTCTTGCGCTTTGCAAGTCTCGTGGAAAATGAATCTAACGAGTATCTAGTAGACTTTTGACATTTCTTGCAGGTTATTCGGCGCACACTGCCTGCGCCCTCTCTTATTGAGAACGACCCACGCATTCAGCGTCTTTTATTATTAGAGAGCCTTTGTTTAATTTCAAATAGAATTTAAAGCTTTTATATTAATCTCTGAATATTTTTTAATTTTAATTTCATTAAAAATTTATATGTAAATTCAAAATAACAAATTTGGCATTTGGCATTTTTAATATATAGTTGATGATAAAGCACGGCTTGATAAATAAGTAGTGAAATGGAACGGATATTCTAAAATTATATAACTATAACTATCGGTTTTACTTTATCTCGATTCGATATTCTCGAAGGTGGTTCAGGTTGCATTGATAAAGAGGAAAATTTGATTTGCAATGGTTAACGTTGCGTTCCTAAAACGCGTGCTGCATTCGACATTAACCGAGATAAGCATTGATTATACTTGTGATGAAAGTCTTTGCAAAATAAACAATATTAATAATTCATACTGTTATTTTCGTGACGATAGATTAAAAATGTATTCGAGTATAGTAAATTCATAATATATTTTTTACGCGCGTGTGCACGTGCGCGTAAAAGCGGAAAGATTAAATGAATTTCCTTCAGAATGCTTAATAAAAATTTAATTGTGACAGATTGACAAAATGGAGAAAAATTCGATTCGTGATAACTCAAATCCAATTCATTTTTAATATAACATCATTTTCAGTCAAGAAAAACAATTTTTATATTATTTGTTGCAATAATTGAAGCGCTTAACGAACTGTTGGAATTTATCATATCAAATTCTTGATCTCTCGTTGCTATTAAATATGTTTCAAATACAAGCATTTTCATCTTGATCGCCATATGAACGGTGGCTGACTGAAATTGGAGGGTGCATCGGATTGAACTTCAAAACTCATTTCTTAGAGAAAGTATAATGATTGGCCATGAATGTAATTGTTTCAAGACAATCAGAAAAGTTAGCAAAATTAATCTAAGTAAATGGAAATAACTTATTGTTCAAATTTTTAATTTAAAATTCGATTCATTTACAGTAACTATAGTTGTAAGTATTTCATCTTTTTTCATCTTTTTGCTATCTTTTTTGTTAAATATTACTGTAAAAATGTTTCGCGGGTAATTAAAAAAACAAAGATAATCAGCGAATAAATAGCCACCATAATGAGGAAGGACATTAATGACAAGAAATTAAACACGACTTTTATCGTGTAGACTGTTCTCTGGAACATCTACTTGTCTAGAAAAATTGAAAATTAGGAAAACTAAAAACTAGAAAATAGTCCGAAGAACTACAAAAAAACTTCTTGAAATATTCCATTACAATAGGTTGAATCAAGTAAAGAATTGTCTGGCGATAGCTATCACTGCTTGATATTATATTAATCAATATGATTCTTTCTCCTACTATTATTGTGACTAACTGTAGTCATCCATCATTATTTGAGGGCTACAGTATGACTATTACGCTCAATAATTTATAAAATATTGTTCAATTTTTTACTTAGGTGCGGACATATATTATGATGATTGTGATGGAAACAATAAATTTGTCCAAGACTTTTTTTTTATACATTGATTCATATGTGTGCGTATATATAGATTGAAAATATCGTTAATATACTTATACTTTTGCTTATCTCTTCTTTAATGTATAAACTAGATATATATATAAATTTATTATTAATTATATAACTCTAGTTTATGCATTAAAAAGAAAATAAGCAAAAATATGAGAATTGTAAAGTAATGTTTCCAAATGTTTTATAGAATAATGATGTTTTCAGTTCTATGTAATAATTATAATTTCTGCAAAATATTTATTATTTTCTTTTGAATAATAAAATAAAAAAAATTTTGACAAGTAAGATGGATGATTAATTTTCGCAAACTGATGGATTCGCGCTAATGAGAGAACTTAAGTTTCCTCATATACCGATCATAATTACCACAGATCAAATAGTCGTGATTGTAAAAGCTACGCGGTACATTATCGAAATTATTGTCTAATTATTTACGCAATTCTAGCATCGCATATGTATCTCATACATGTATATATTTGTATGCATAAAATAGCCATGATTTTATATAATAAGAATAAAATTAGCGTCAAATTTGTATATTATCCAATTTTTCATATACTATGAAAATGTAAAC